TCAGTAAAATTAAGTTCAGTTCAGTAAAAATAAGTTTAGTTCAGTAAAAATAATTTCAGTTCAGCAAAATTAAGGTGAATCAAACAGGGCCTTATTTTAACTGAATATTACTGTATTTTATGTAAGGTGAATTGAACAGGGTCTTATACATAAGAAAAAATATACTCGTAGTTTTGTGGGTATTTATAAAAATCGTGTCAATAAATAGTTTATTAATATTTAATTATTATTTTTGCAGTTATTGATACTCCCTCCGTGTTTTTTTAAGTGATACATTTTTCATTTCCGGCCGTGTTTTTGTAAGTGATACATTTCCTTTTTTGGCAAAACAATACATTAAAATATTATATCTCTCTCCTCTCATGGCCCCCACCCAAACTCACTACTACTTTTTTATTATATATTTCCTCTCACATTCATTACTTTTCAATAAACTATTAACCCTAATATCTTTCTTTAACAATTTTTTAATACTCCACTACCCTACTTACCTCTTATTTTATTTAAGTCAATTAAATTGCCTAAAACTATGTGCTGGTCAATATGTATCACTTAAAAAAATACGGAGGGAGTAATCAAAGATATGAGTGGTCAAAAATCTATGGCGACATATGTGTCAAGTCTATATATGGGACAAATAAAAAATATAGAGGGAGTTTGACTGAGATATGACAGTCAGACCCAATTCCAGAGGAACTCATAACTTATAAAAATATGTAAGCCCAATATCTAGATAACACACTAAGTTATGCCAAAAAAAGCCCAATATTTTAGAACTATACATTAATCAGTATAACTCCAAACAATACAGTTTGACTCTTGAGACGCCTGCATTGACTGCTTGACTTAGACTGAAGAATCAGCCTCTAATACGACCATCTATCTCTTTGCCTTGCCATTCTGTGCTTCATGCAACATCTATCTTTATGTTTCAATACTTCATGGTCAATCTGCGACTGCGCCGCGCCACACCACGCACCCTTTCCTCTACCTCCACCACGCACCTGCTTAATTAGTACTTCTCCTACACTACATGGCCTATTTTTTCGACAACACATCAGTCAAAAAAAAAATAAAAAAATCAATCCTTAAATCAACCAAATTGATACTATTATATATATCCTTGCATATTGCACCATAATTTATACTAAAAAATTCATCATCAATATTCAATACAAACACACAACACGTAAAAGAACAAAAAAAACTTGTAACAAAAATGATGAAGATGAAGAGCGTAGTGATAATAATGGTGATCATGACCCTTATGGTGGGTACATCAATGGCACTTGGCGAATGTAAGAGGGGCAGATGCTCCGGGGGTCTGTGCTGCAGCAAGTTTGGCTACTGTGGCAGCGGACCCGAGTATTGTGGAGGTGTTGTCGAGCAGGCTGAAACCAATTCATCAACAGATGAAGTCTTTCAAACTCACAAAATTCCTTCTGATGCTGCTACTAAACCTGCAGCTCCTTGAAGCTCACTGCGTACTAATGAACGAGACACTAGCTTAGCTCAGCTAAAAGCCTACAAGAAATAATAATTACTTCCTATGGGAGTAGTTTTTAAATTTGAGTTATTAAATTATCGTTGTTTTTGTTGTTAATTACACGAATAAATGTAGTTGAAGCTTGTATCATTGTAGGATCGATAGATATACTTCGTAAGTTCGTATATGTTAATGTTATACTAGCTATATATATCTCACATGCACGTTTGATGTTATTTCTTGTATTCTATACGAAATTGTATTAAAGATAATAACCCACATCCATCTCTAGATAGTAATCATTATTAAACAATGATAACCATACATAATAAGCTACTTACAAATTTACAATGTGGAGTAAATTACTACCTCCGATACAGGTTATGTGCAACGATTAGACATTTTCCCTCTCTACTTTATGTCAAATCGTTGCACGTAACTTGTAACGGAGGTAGTATTAAACATGCATTGAATTCTATGATTGTATGAGATGCAAAGTTTACATACCTAAAAATGTACTTCCCCAGTCTCAGAATATCTGACATGGTCAACTTTATATACATGTCAATGTACTAGTTTGACTTTGTTTTTATATATATAATTAAATATTAATAATGGCATTTTAAAAATTATATTATGAAACTTTTTATTAATAATAGTGAAAAAGTTCAAAGTTGCAGACATTGAAAACAATACGGAGTATAAGAAGTTGTTATAACAATCTTCTAAAAATAATGATAACGTAATTATTACTAATCATAACAAAGCTACAATCTATATCTATATCTATACTTAGTATTTAAAAATACAAACCATCATCCCCATCATGCCACATGTAATTAAAATTTATTTTTCACTAATGCCACATGTCACCTCCCTTCATTAATTAATCCCCTTTCTTATTATTTTAAAAAATAACTAGCTTTAATTCAATACATGTATGAATATTCCCTTAAAAAAAAATACATATATGAATGTTATTTGATTCATTTTCCCCCAACTTAATATCTCTACAATTACATTCAATTATCACCCCTTATTCTCCTTTATAAACCATTCATTTTCCAATTAAAACATATTATAAAACAAAAGTTACTATTGTACCCCTTATAAACATCCCGTGCATTGCACGGGTATTGATAGCTGTTACCATTGTTTTACCCTCCAATACCAAGTTGAATATCATAGTTTTACATTTTACCATTTACAATAAATTATCTAGCTCTGATACAATTTTCATAATGATCATTGAAATTACTTTGTTAATTGAAACGGAGTGAGTGTAAGCTTTACGTTGACTAAATTTGAGGTGTGAATCTTGTGATCTTGGCAATGTATCAATCTGTTTTTACGATTTTATCGGTCCAATTGGCCTAGTCCAAGCAAAATCAATTCGGCCTCTTATCTTGAATTATAAATTTTCAATCTTTAGTCAATCCTATTCGATCTAGTCCTGTCTTTGAGTGTTGAACAACCCTATATATGACAAATTGGAGACACTTTCTTTTCTTTTGGGCAAATTTTTCGTAGTTTCAATGTATGTTTTGCACGAGAATTGTTGAGAGAATGTTATATACATCCGGATGTACCGTACATCCATGAATACTTTATTCTCATTTTAATGATTTTTTTTTTATTTAATCATCAAATGAAATTAAAAACTATCCTTGGTTAGTCGGATGTACGGTACCCCCGAGTGTATATACTCCCTTCGTGTTTTTTTAAGTGTTATAGTTTGACCGGCACATAGTTTTAGGCAATTTAATTGACTTAAATAAAATAAGGGGTAAGTGGGGTAGTTGGAATATTAAAAAATTGTAAAAGAAATATAGTGGGGTTAATAGTTTATTGAAAAGTAATCAATATGAGAAAAAAGATATAATAAAAAAGGTAGTAGTGGGTTTGGGTAGGGAACATAAGAGGAGAGAGATATAATATTTTAATGTATTTTTTGGCTAAAAAAGGAAGTATAACACTTAAAACAACACACGGCCGAAAATGAAAAGTTTAACACTTCAAAAAAAATGGAGGGAGTAACAAAATCTAGAATTGTTGGCAAACGTTTCTAATACGTACATTTTACCCCAAAATTAATTTTAAAGGATAATGGAAAAGCCCATCCAAGGCCTCAACTCTCAAGTAGTCTACTGAAAAAATAATGTATAATAATGTAGGCCCAACTTGATAGTATCCAAAAGCCCAATACTTCGTTTAATTTACATTTGTACAATAGTACGGAGTAGAAAAATTCATTCTATAAGATTACTGAGCATTTTTAGCCACATGCATTGACTTGATCACTTTAAGAAGCACGGCCTTTAAGATGATCAGATCACCTCTTTAACCAACCTTCCACAGTATGTACCGCCGGACTCAAACTACTACCAATCTACCATCGTTTGGCATTTGTTTAGCTAGTCTACCAATTCGTGTTCTTTTAACCAATAACCTTCCTCTATTAATCCATGTATGCACCACAATGTATGTGCAAATAAAGATGGCATTGAGTGAGGCCGGCACGAAGCCAGACAAGGTATTGTTAGTGTGGGTCATGGACTGCCTTTAATTGAGAGAAGCATGATAAGGCTCGACACAATATTAGCATAGCATGCTAAAATCAATACAAATTTTCTTAGATACACAAGTCCGGCACGATGACACATGGGCATGGGCCGTTAAAAGTCCAACCTTTTGACAACTTCGGCCGGACATGAAACTGGTGGGCCGAGCCATGGGCTAGGCTTAACTAACCCCAAAGCAGGTGGGTTTGGCACGAATTGGCACGGCCAGAGCATCTTTAATTACATATATATGTACAATATATACCCCATTAATACATACATCCTTTTATCACACTAATACTGCATACATAAAACATAATTACCACTACAATCGATCTCAAGCTCATATTCAACCAATATCAGTATTCCATGAATCCAAGCTCATATACGGAATCTAAAGGCAAAATTCCAAGAAACGAAGTGATCAAACTCACACCTTAGTAGTTAGTACCTTACCACCTACAAAGCAACAACTTGACCGCTCACATAAATGTAATGTACTCCAAAAATCCTACGATATTTTACATACAATCCAAAATACCAACGCATTAAGCTTTACTGTACAACACTATAACTGGCAAAAATCATATCTCTCTCTCACACACACACACACACACAAAAAAAAAGCAATAGAAAAGAACAAAAGGTTAGCATTCTTAGCAATACTAGAAACTACTACTAGACAAATTAAATGAAATCTCAATGCAAGCTGTGCCTTGGTTGATCGATGCATCTACATACATATATATCACTCGCACGAGCACTCCCATTGCATACTTCTTACATGGCATCCGCCCTCGGTTGCCATCTATTCATTCTACAACGCCCCATTTCGACACGTTTGAACTCACAAAGACCGTACATTAAACATATATATAGAGGTCAATAGATACAGAAACAGAGCAACTTCAATCAAACATCTAAAAAAAATCATTTTAGAGCTGAAGACGACAATGACAATGTTGAAGAAGAGTAACATTGCAGTACTTGTGGCGTTGCTGATGATCATATGGATGGGAAAATCCACAGGCTTTCGCTGTGGGAAAATCGCGCATAACAGCACCTGTCCTGATGGATTCTGCTGTAATATTTCAGGGTACTGCGGTAAAACTGTTGAGTTCTGTGGAAAGAGCCATTGCCAAAGCCAATGTGAGCATGAAGATGTGCCTCAGATTCAAGCTAAGCAAACTCCGAGTATTCGAGCTTTCAGAACTCGTAAAATTCCTACTCAGAATGTTGCTGCTGCTGCTGCTGGGAATCCTTGAATAACAAGACTAAGATTGATGTAGTTAGTAGTTACTGCTGTATATTAAGTCCGTAGAAATAACTCAATAAGCTACGGAGTACCACTTTGTTTTAAGTTATGGGTTTATGGGCTTTTTTTTTTAGTTGGATTATAAATAAATTTAGTTTTTGCATTCATCTATTCCGTAAAATTTTCCTAATAATTTTAAAACTCAAAGGAACAACATGTTATTCTCAAACTTATTGTCACATGAGCATTAACATGACAGGATAGGGCAAATGATCCTCAAACTTGGCGTTGCAAAAATTCCTCATTCTTAACAAAATGTCTTACCAAGATTTGAACCTAATAACAAAATGTCTTACCAAGATTTATTAGATAAATTAAAACTTAATTTTAATAATTAAAAACAACAAATTCTAAAATAATTAACTGCGCACAACATGCGTGGACCAGTTCACAATAATATTATTGTGGATCTAGATACGTATGTACGCGCGCTGCAACTAATTGTATCTTAAATGTAGTAACATAGTAACCTTAATTTTAACATATTACTCCCTTCAATTTTTTTATTAAAAATGTGTTACTTTTATTTTTTTCACTATTTACATATCATGCACGGTTGACTTTAATTTTTTCACCTCTTTAAATAAATAAATGTTATTATATAATATATCATTAGATTTGTCATAATGTCTAGGTTCATTATATAGTTTTGTTACTATAAGTTTACTAATAGACAATTAAAGATTTTAATGGTCAAAGATACGTTTTGGCAAATGTGCCGATTAAACTGATGTATTTAAAAAAAAAAAAAAAAAAAACAGCGGGAGTAACCTTTAATTTGTTGAGACTCATGTGACTTTTAATATTATTTTAATTTGTAGTACGATGATATGTTGAATATAGTGACCCTAATTTGATATAGTTACCTGTATTATTAATATTGGATTCGTACTTCGTATATTATAAATAAATATCATTAAAAAAAAATTAACCTCTTATGACCTTTATAACACAATCACTTCTATTTTAATAATATAACCTTTATTTTAATATAGTGACCTTTTTTCTATTAATAAAACGATCATAGATTCATAGTGTCTCCAATATTAATGGTCCACAATACATTAATGTAAACCAAGTATATTTATGTTGGAAATAAGAAAGCAAAAATAGTAGGAACACGTTGAATATGAACCGATGCTTTCTAATTCATTCAATAATAGAAAGTTAGGCCATATAAATAACCTTTACAAGATAAACCAAATAACTAAAATAAAGCAACTAACTAGGAAGTGGGTACTCCATGATACACTCCAACTACTTAGTTAGCAAGTCCACTAACATCCACTTACAATAGGTAACACATGACTAACGTACTTAATTTGACTAATTCTAATTAACAAATTTAAACTAAGATATTTATCCTAAAACTAAGGAAGCTAATTAACCACAAACTTGAAGCACTAATTTCAACACACCCCCTTGCTTCAAAGTTTGTGATAATCATGAAGCACGTCTCTTCAATGTTGTGATACCCTTCTCATCACCTACACAATTCGTTGTTGATGCACATTATCACCAACCATTAATGTTCGTTTACTTGTTGATGCACCTCTCACCAACACACTCTTCAAATTTTGGATTACTTCCCTCCATGGTGCACTTCTCACCCACAACTCTAAAATAGGTTCTCTTCCACGGCCACTTGTGCCATGGTCTCTTGCTCTTCATTTTTGGACTTACAATTTCTTGCCATGTGCCCAAATTTTTGACAATTAAAACACTTAGGTTTCCCCTTATGCCAACAATCTTTATCCTCGTGACCAATTTTGTGACAAATGTTGCATTGTAGGGACTTGCCTTTCCCCTTTTGATAAGGAGACTTTGCTAGAAATGCTTTTTCATTCTTGTTTTACCATCTTCATTTCTCATGGACCTCCTTTGATCCACCGCATGTAGTGAATTGATCAACTCCGAAACTGTCAACTTTGAAAAGTCTTTAGTATCTTCAATTGAAGAGAGTTTAGTTTCATACCTTTCCGGAAGACTAACAGGAAGTTTGTCCACTACTCTTTGATTGTCAAATTCTCCACCAAGTAATTTGATTTGATTTGCAATGGACATTAGCCGACTCCCGTATTCCTTGACACCTTCACTACCTTTCATCCCCATCATTTCAAACTCTCTTTTAAGGTTCAAAATTTGCATAAGTTTGGTTTGATGGTTTCCTTCATACTCCTCCTTAATTTTTTCCCATGCTTCTTTAGGAGTATCACAACCCATAATAGTTGTGAAGATTTCATCCGACACTGCCGAATGTAGACACGAAAGTGCTTTTGCTATTTTTGCCATATCCTCATCATATTTTTTGGTTTGGGCTACGGTTGGATTTTGTGAAAGAGGAATTGGATACACATCACTCTCAATTGCTTCCCATAAACTCATGGCTTTCAAATATGATTTCATTTTGATAGCCCATGTACTATAATTATCCCCTTTGAATAAGAATTTGATTTGATTTGCAATGGACATTAGCCGACTCCCGTATTCCTTGACACCTTCACTACCTTTCATCCCCATCATTTCAAACTATTTAAGAGTTTGCACACATGTACAACACACACTGTCTTTAGTTTTCATTACATTTAATTTACAAAATATTATTCTTTATTTTTGAACTCATTATATATTTTAGAGTTTGGCCTGGTTGCAATATTGGTAGTTGATTATGTTTGTGTTTTAGTATCGATCCATTACATCTCTAGCCTATTCAGAATTTAAATAATTACATTAAAACATTTTTACTTTCATATTATCATGACCCGGAAGATTGTTGAGGCCAAAAATTAGCTGTATAACACTAAAATTACTACAATATCTATTATCGGAGACATTAAGACCGATATATACCTATCTCTCTCTATTCTCTAACTAACATAGATACATATCGTCGATTGAGTGGTTACAATTCCAACAACATCAACAGCTGATTATTCGAGGACTGAGGAGTAAAGAAAATTCAATACGTATGTCGGTTTGTTATAGTTGTTTACACTATTTTCATGTATCATATATAATGTGTGGTTGCCTCAGTCAATTAAAGTGTCATGTACAGACTAGAGACTAGTCTTGCACTTAAAGCTAGATTCTCAATGATAAATGTATCCAACCACCTATCCAGTGTACGTGTGTGTGTTTTTTTTTTTTTTTTAAAAGGAAATCCATCTATTGAGATCAATGATGATTATTTAGTATATAAACTTCGTCCAATCCTTGATGTTCTACTCACGGTATTACTCTGGGTGGGCCCAAGTCATCCACCTTGATGGGTCGCACGCACACTCCACTCTACATTAGTATGATATTGTCCGCTTTGGGCCTAACCCGCACTGATTAGTTTTTGGTCACCTTCCCTTAGACCAAAGGACCACATAACTCATGGCCTTTCCTCTAGCGAAACTATCTTGCACCGTCGATAACACCACGAGACATGTCGCTTAAGCCACAATATCAGGAGGACTTTTGACGCAAGGCACCAAAATCACGAGGTCACACATTTGAGGGAACCATCCCACACATAACGCCCATATTGTCCCGGCCAAACCATTGGCTCTAATACCACTTGTTGGGCCCGGGTCACCCACCTTGAAGGATCGCATGCACACTCCATTACACATTAGTATGATATTGTCCATTTTAGACCTAGCCTTTACAAACTTGTTTTTGGGGACCTTTCCAATAGGCCTCATACTAATGGAGTGTGCACTCACTTATAAGGAGTTCTTTACCTCCCTACTCCTTCAATGTGAGACTTGGGATGAACTACCCCAATAGGTGGGTCAACGCTAAAAATTAGGTTAACCATGGGAATTTGACTATAGGTAGGATTTTACAACAAATCACCTTTTACTCCCTCCGTTTTTTTATATGCATCACTTTCTATTTAGGGGTGTTTTTTTTATATATGCATCACTTCTATATTTGGTAACTTTATACTATATTTTATTATCTCTCTCTCTCTTCTCAAATACCCCACTCAAAATATTTTATTATTTCACTCTCTTTCATGGTCCCCACTTATATTATTAAATAAATCATTCTCTCTCACATACTATCTATTTCATGACCCACATTGCACTTTTATCAAAATAAATTAATCATCCATTTGCCCCACTTGCACAATATAATATTGAAGCAAATAACTTTCCTAAAACTCCGTGTAAATACAAGTGATGCATATAAAAAAAAAACGGAGGGAGTATTAAATAGTTTCTTACAATTTTTTTATTGGATAGTTTCACACAAAGTATAGGCTTTATTGATTAGTTTATGCATGAAAAAATCCTTATTAATGTTTAGTTATTATAATTTTTACTTATTGATAGTTGAAGATAACATCAAATTTTGCATTAGTACACATGTACAAGAGAAACAATTCAATAATTCATCACTTATTTGAGTATAGAGGGAATAAGAAAAGGCGTTGAATATTCTATGGTTAAATTAATTAAAGGTGGGCCAATAATAGGATAATGTACACGTACAATATAGCTAAATAGTGTAACCAATAATATCTCCCATGCACTACTAATTAATAAAATGCACGTATTTTCCCAAATGGCTATGCATCTCAGATCAAAACCCTATAAATACCCCCTCATTCATAACCAAATTCATCACACAAAAAACTCATTCCAAAAAAAAAAAAAAAAAAAAAAAAAAAAAAAAAAAAAAAAGAACTAAGAGTTAATTAGTTACAAAAGTTAAGAAGAGTGAAAATGATGAAGATGAAGCCTTTGTGATACTCATGGTTATCATGACCCTTTTGGTGGGTACATCAATGGGAGATGACGGAAAATGTAAGAGTAAGGGCGACTGCCCCAAAGGGATGTGCTGTAGCAAGTATGGCTACTGTGGCAGCGGACCCGACTACTGTGGCCGTGTCGAGCAGGTTCAAGACTACCCATCTACCGATCTTCCTCAAACTCGTAAGGGTTGTGTTAAAGCCCC